CCATGGGATTCGTGCCTACTACCGTGACAGTGTGGTCTAAGCTCTAACTAATACTTAGTGATAGAATTTACTATTAAACCTGAAGTTGACCTGTTGTGTTGAGTAGAGAACGGTAAAACATGATTTTTTGAAATCCTGTATGAATCTGGTATTAAGTAAACTTAATCGTTACGAAAGTCAATTCTTCAGCAAATTGCTATAATTCTCTCGGTAAAAAATATAATTAAAATTTGTTTTAGTATGTTAATCAAAAGTATTAAGTTTAAAAATGTTTCGTTCCCAAAATAATGAAACTTTTTACACACACATTAAGAAAAAAAACTCTTAGATTACCATTACGAAAGCAATTTAATTCTTAAGAGAAACAATGATTTTGTCTAATCCATGTTGTTACGTCAAATAAAGTAATGGTCTTGAAATTATCTCCATGACTCGCAACTAGAATCGATATCACTTCAGAGCAAGTTCTAGTTCATTGGTATATATGCAATGTTAATAAGCAAATTACAACAATAAAGTTAAGAAGGTAAATTTACATGCAAGTATTTTCTGCGACGTATAATTTTGTATTATTAAGGATCCATGCATTTCTTTTCTTCGGTATTTCTACTCGTAAAGATTAAATGCATGTGAAAATTTCGTATGAGTGACTCGACGTAACATTTGCAAAAAAAATTGGTTTTCAACGTTATGATATGTCCAGGTCAAAACTGACACTGCATTGATATCGTTGATATATATATATATATATATATATATATATATATATATATATATATATATATATATATATATATATGACTGCATGTATTTTCAGATTATGCAAAAAACGATGACATTGGTGGTGAGGGACAGGCAAGAGGCTTATATGCATATCTTGTACACGCCATTAAAAGATAAAACTTCCTCACAAACACAACAATGTCAATCTCTCACCAGATGGCGCGACTAGGGAACTGTGGAGACCGCGCGCTACGACAAATAATGCTTCCTCATGCTGTACAACCTCACTGCAGCTCTGTTTTTCTTAGAGGGAAAAACATGTATATATAGAAGTTATATGTCTGATGTCAGATAATCACACCTTTTTAATTAATGAACATTTTACTAGGTGAATAATCAAAGCCATGGTTTGTGGAATATTCCATATACGACATGTTATACAATTACATACAATTTTTAATTATGCTTTTCCGAAAGAAGGTAGATCTCTTTACCATCATGCATGAATATAACCTGGAAAGGGGTAATGATTTTTTGATGATCAATGATGGAATGATTTTTCATCCATGACTACATGTATACGATATCCCAGATTAACATAGAAATTGATGACCTTTTCTTTTCTTTTTTTGGAAAGTGAAGTCATCGCATTCCGACTTAACTTTTTAACTATATTCACAAATATAATTCTATTTATACATACATTAAAAGGGCAGTTCAATATGTTGTATCTTTGACGGATCTTACTGGAAAAAGTCAGGTCATGCACTGATCTAATTACTTCTTTTTTTTCATCACAAACAATTTCTCAGCAATGGTCACTTAACAGTGGAAATAAGAGGTCCTGCACTCGTCGTTGTCTAATCGTAACTATGACTGTTGTATTTGTACAAAAAATGTCGGTAAAATCGCGAAAACAATCGCATACTATCTCATCATGTAAGGCGCATCTGTACATGAATAACGTATTGTAACATAAGCGTACCGACATGTATGTGAATGTACCCAATCGTGCCAGATAGGAAACCCGGATCGTGATGATCGTGTTAGTTCGAGATTCAATAGCTGACTCTGTCGGGGCACCCTAACGGAACGTATGTGATCTTGTAATCATGACAGATCGAGTCACCCGAAATTGACCAGCCGTGACACCGTATCGCACCAAAGCGCAAAAATTGGTATGGACTTCGCATCAGCTCGAAAACAAACCTGAAATTCCAGAGAAGTTCAAAGAAGATACAAATGGTCAGTCGTGGAGTTGACGGAACAGACCGCACGACTGCAACCAATTTTGCAATTCAGATCCTTGGACGTATCCTTGGGCATTTTTAAAAAAATTCCTTTAAACTCATTAAACCCGACATATATACTGAGGATGGGTTTTCACCAGACTTGATGAAGTATGTACTATATTGTCACAAATTATCGGAAATCTGATTACCAAATTATTGGGTTTAAAAGGCCAGCAGAACTTGCCTCCGACTTTCATTTAATATTGTTATTAGTCTCCATTTATAATCCTGATTGTAGTTCTAATATCAATTAAGCATTTCATGATGAGAATAATAATGAAAATTCTAAATATCCTATATTATCAATTTCCGAGAACATTTTGGGAACAGAGAGAAATGTTGTATTTCTTTTAATAAATACAAAGCAAGTGACATTAAAAAATATCATTTTACCATGACAAATTTTAAAACATTCTTGGATAAAAACTAACCTTTTTTCTTTCTTTTTTGAGGGGGGGGGGGGAAGAAGTGATTGCCGAAAGCCTGATGATCCTTACGTGGTTAAGGTCGATCTACTGCATAGTCATGAGGACTATAAACTTGACACGCCACTATTACACGCGCTTTTTTCGTGTTTAATGTGTTCTTTTATGTCTTTCTGAATATGATGATAGCATTAAAGGGGCTGGGACACAGATTTGACAGACTGTGTCTGTGGAAAGACGGTTTCTCAATTTTAAGATGATAATTCCATCTCTTTATCATTCTTTTATTGAATTTATTTATTCGAATGTCGTTTCGTTATTCGATCGTCCATCCATTCGGGAGAAAGAGAGCGCATGCGCGACAGGAAAGACGGGAAAAATTTGCAGGGAAGATCAAGAGGTGAAAAACTTACGTAAACGCATTGAAATTCCATCATCAAGTGAAATTATTTAGTTAGGGATACAGTTTGAAACGCGATATATGAGTAATTTGTGTAATGTAGGCGTTTAAGGTTGGTAAGACGGTTCCCAGCCCCAATATACCACTTTGTCGAATCCCACCACTGTCATATTGGATTTAAAAGGAACATCCATCCTATATCCAAACCATCCATCATTTTCTATCATCAAATATACAATCCAATGACAGAAAACAAACTGAGGAAATATATAGAAAAATCACGACCAGCTCCCATCGGAGAAAGAAAACTTCAACCCATTATTTTATTGGATAGTAAGGGAAACTACCTACGAAATCATGTATCAAATGAAGTAGAGAAACAAATCATCTGGCAATCAAAAAGTAGAGCAAGGATTGAAGAAAACACAAGCAGGCTGAAAAGAAACATTGCAAAAAATATCATAAATCACGGAGACATCTGGTTATACGTCTGGATAGGAACGTGCGATCTCACGAGCAAAATAAAGAATACAACAGTCTTAGAAACAACAGTGAAGACGAAATACAAAGAATCTCCAGTATGTAGGACCAGTAAATATACAGAGAAATACCAGAAATTATCAAACAATACCAAGGCTCGAAACCATCCTAAACACACCCATTTATTCAATCAAAAAGTGGAACGAAGGAAAAGGACATAAGGACCCAGACACATTTGACGATCAAGATGCAGACCTAGCAAAACAGATATACAACCTAGACAAAGAAGTCAGAGAAAGTAACAAAACACTATGATCACACTCTTTTGAATTCACATCTGACCTGCAAACCGACAAAAAGGTCAAAGTAGGAGATGGTGGCAAATTAAAAATCATAAAGCGCCACAACTTCAACCTCTACGTGGACGGAATTCACACAGGCCCATTACTATCCAACGTCTGGTTGAAAAAGATATCAGAACAAATTAAGCGAGATCGCTGGGAAACACCGAGTGGCAAGTAACGGGCCAGTGTAAACAGATGCAGTCAGTACGAGTTTCTCCGCGCTATACTGGTTCACCATGTTTGCACTGACTCTACTTCTACTATTCCATCTTACCATAAGCAACTCTGAACACCATGTCAAATCATGGAATCACCAACAAATTACATACCAACTTATGAACATTAAAATGAATACAGCGGGTAGGAGACCAATATATACACTTACTCAAAAGTTAGGGACCATCACTCTTTCTTTGAAAAATCTTTAAACTTTTCATTCTCTTAGACCAATCAAATTAATTATTTAATTTTTGTTTTTAAATCTCAGTAGATCTAAACTCTCCTTAATCAATGCATGTTTCGAAATCATCTGATATCTAATCTGTTTTATGCAAATGATAATTTTCCAATGAAAAGAATACAAGTCAAAAAAATGTAGAATTTAAAATTTCACTTTAATTTGTTGTTGACAAAAGTTGCTGGCAATAAGCATGTTTAACTTTATTGGCATTTAAAGAGTCATCAATTTTCAACATTTTATAAGCATAGATATTTAATAATGTGTATATCCACCACGACTTTTGTACATTTCTTTTACACACCTTCTCATACTGTGGACAAGTCGTCTTAGGCGGTTTTGGGGGAATTGTCTCCATTCCTGAATTAAAGCGTCTTTTCATTTCTGTAAGTTTTCACATCTTGGGGTCCTCTGATCAATTCTACGACCAAGATAATCCCACACATGTTCAATTGGGTTCATATCTGGGGACATGGCGGGCCAGGGCATAGTTTCAATGGCTTCTTGGCGAAGAAAGGCTTTAACTATTCGGGCCCGATGAGGTCTAGCGTTGTCATCCATTAGTACAGGTCGACTTGCTAATGAATGATCAGCGAAATGAGGCACAACTAATTGGCTTAGTATGTTGTCCCTGTACTTTTGAGCAGTTAAAGTGCCATCAAGAATGTCCAGCTCCAGTTTACACCGCAAAGAGAAACACCCCCATACTGTTACTCCGCCTCCACCAAAGGCCTTTGTTCCCAATACATGTTGTTGTTTGTATGCAGAATTTGGGTGTCTCCATACCCGAACCCAGCCTAATACCGGGTGAAGCAAAAAGCGGCCTTCATCTGACCAATGTATTCTCTGCCACGACAGAATGTTCCGCCTCCCATGCTGTCATGCCCATAGTAATCTTGCTTCTTTGTGTCTCTGGGATAAGAGTGGACGTTTTATTGGCCGACGTGATCGCATCCGTTCCTTGTTTAGCCTCCTGTTAACTGTGCTTCTGCTGATTCGAGCTTGGGTGTTCCATTTGCTTCTCAGTGTGTTTGCAGTGTCAAAAGGACTCTGTTTAGCTAGTCGTTTTAGAAGTCTATCTTCCCTCTCTGTAGTCTTTCGGGGTCTTCCAGATCTTTTAGCTTCCTCCACACCCCCAGTTCTTCTCCAGCGCTGTACCAGACGAAAAATTACAGTGTGACTGACATTAAAGTGTTCGCCAACCCTTCTATACGTCATTCCAGTTCTTACCATTCCAATGGCCTGCCAGCGTTCAGCATCCGAGAGTTTCCGACGAGGCATGGTTGCACAAAACTTATAACTTTTTTTCTATCAGTTAAGCTCATGCGAACATGGATGTGAATACAATTGAAAACTGCATTGTTCGAACACGCATTGGTGGCCTTGAAGAAACCGATTTTACAAGTATTTGATTGGAGATATCGATGTTACATAAAAACAAATAATAAACGTTTGATTGACTAGTAAGTCTGGATATATTCAATCAAAAAAATTTTTTTTTTTAATTTTAATTTCATATCAAAGTGGGTTGTCCTTAACTTTTGAGTAGGTGTATATATCCCGCTTAGTAACAAGAAAGCGACAAACCAGACACTTTTGATAATCATACTCTCTGGGGACATCGAATTAAACCCTGAGCCAAATAACAAAAGCATTTTCCAATGTGGCCTATGTGAATTGCCTGTGACCTGGAATTGCCAAGGGGTATGTTGTGATGCATGCGACATCTGGCATCACAAATCGTGTATAGAATTATGTACCCATGATTACGAGCTACTCGAGCGCTCAAATGTACAATGGCTATGTTGCAAATGTGAAAGCATTAATGTCAACACTTTCACTTTTAGAAGCTACGAAATAGAACAATCAAATATTTACGAAGTACTCACGGAACTCGATTTAACCATCGACTCTGTAAGTTCAGTCTTAAACCCACTACGAGCCAGCAGTCCAATGAACAAACAAAATAGATCAGACATAAAAGACAGAAGCCAAAAAAAACCATAACTCAACAAATTCAGCCAAATCCAGAATGGACAGCAATCCCTACGATGTTCGAACCTAGGAAATATCTACGAATTATGACTAATAACTGCCGGAGCATAAAAGACATCAAAGAAGAATTTCAAACAGCTATCCATTATTTAAAACCAGATATAGTATGTGGGGCAGAGTCATGGCTCAAAGGGGTAAACCAGGACGAAATCCATCAAAGGACGCAACTAAATCCTGCGAAATATTCCCACCAGAATACAATGACTATAGAAACGATAGAGGTACATTAGGAGGGGGTGTCTTCGTCCTTGTAGAAAAATCTATAACATCAACCGAAAAACCAGAATTCATAACAGAAGGGGAAATGCAGTGGGTAAAAATCAAAGTGAAGAACAACAAGACCTACTAATTGGCTCATTTTACATGCCACATAGAGAACAGAAACACCTGGCCGAAATAAAGAAATCATTAGAAATTATAGACGTAAACAACATCACAAACAAAACAAGCATTCTGAGAGTATTGCATTAGCAATACTAGTCCCCTACCGGCAAGTGTAATCTGGTTCCGTTCCCGTTAAGAATTGAAAATGCCATAATTCCGTAAAAAATTAATGAAGCAGGACGAAATGCAAAATTGATCTATAACTAATCAAGGTAAAGCTACACACCAAAAATCAGCTCAATATCTACAAGCGTTTAGAAGAGAATTGCGGAAAACCCGTAAAAATTGAAAAGGTCGTTATTCCGTCAAAAATCAATGAAGCGGAACGAAATGCAAACTTGATCTGTAACTCATCAAGATACACTCACATACCAAAAATCAGCTCAATATCTGCAAGCGTTTAGGAAAAAAGTGCGGAAAACCAAGTGGGACAGACTGACAGACAGACAGAGGGACAGACAGACAGACGGACAGACTCAGAGGAAACCTATAGTCCCCTCTGGTTTCACCGGTAGGGGACTAATAATTACGGGAGACTTCAACTGCCCAGATATAAGCTGGAACATACAGACAGCAAAGGGACCAGACAGGGAAGTTCAACAAGAACTCGCCGACATCATGAGTGCAAACAACCTCACACAAATACATGAACATCCAACCAGAGAAGATCACCTTTTGGACTTGGTTTTTGTTTCAAATCCAACCTTAGCAAAGTCATCTATATCATTGAGTCAAATGCTGGCTGACGTTTTTCATACTAATTGTTAGACCATTTTTTACACACTGAATTGTCTACGGATTTTCCGTTATTTCCCGATCATGACAAGGAGCACACGGCGGGTGTGACCTGTCGGCAGGAGATGCTCACTCCTCCATGGCACCTGATCCCACCTCTGATGTTTTGGAGGTCCGTGTTTGCTCTGCTCCTATTTTGTATTGTTTAATGGACTTTTGAGCTTTAAAGTGCTTGGACACAGATTTGAAGTTAATATTTTCTCAATTTTTCGGTATAATATCATGACTTATATGTTTTATAGCATTTCACATGGAAATAAAAAAAAAAAAAACTTATTTTATCTGGAAATAATTGAAGCTACAAATTTCGGGAGGGATTTGATTGACACATCTATGCACTTTCACAAAGTAAACTTTATCCTTAATACTTAAGAAAAGTAGAAATTTTGTTGTACACTAATGAAAAATATTAAACTATAATCCAGAAAATAAGGAGTAGAAATGTGAGAAAGCAAAACCAACTCACCAGTATTGTCAGTCCGTGCTCAGTGATGTGTGCAGAGTTTAACAAACTTAACACACCCATGAAACGTAAATTGTTTTTGTAAACAGGGCACGAGCTCTGTTATTGTTAATGTTTATGTTTCACCGGGTGTGTTCAATTTGTAAAACTCTGCACACATCACTGAGCACGGACTGACAATACTGGTGAGTTGGTTTTGCTTTCTTACATTTCTTCTCTGAATTTTCTGGATTATAGTTTGAATATATTTCATTAATACACAACAAAAATTTTACTTTTCTTAAGTATTAAGGATAAAGTTTGCTTTATGAAAGTGCTAGGATGTGTCAATCAAACGCGTCCCGAAATTTGTAGTTTCAATAATTTCCAGATAAAACAAGTTTTTTTTATTTTATTTCCGTTTGAAATGCTATAGCAACCTATAAGTCATGATATATTATACCGAAAACTTGAGAAAATATTAATTGTGTCCAAGCACCTTTAAATATTGTTCGTTATCTCCATATATTTCACTATAAATGTACCAGGCATATCGGATCATGACATCATTATCACAGATATGGACACAAAGGTGCAAAACAAACGCACACCAACTAGAAAGTGCTATATATATAGTAACGCTAACTGGGATAATATTAACAAATACCTAGAGGAACTTCAAACAACAATAGCTAGAAGCTAACAAAACAAGAAATGACTCAGTACAACAACTATGGTCAACATTCAAAGCGCAACTCTTCAATGGACACAAACATACCAAATAAAGAAATAAGATCAATAAATAACATCCCATGGATAAAACATAAACACAAGAAAATGCTTAGAAGAAAACAAAGGCTTTTCAACCAGGCCAGGAAAACCAAAAATTGGTCCAACTGCAGAGCACACCAAAAGAATGTAAAAGATCACTAAGACGAGCGGAGTTGGGATATGTAAATTTTAACATCATTGAAGGATTACAAAAAAACAACAACAAATCGTTCTGGAAGTATGTCAAATCAAAAAGGCAAGATTCAAGCGGGATAGCACCACTCAAAAAAGGACAACTTTGATAAACGATAGCAAAGGGAAGACAGAAATACTACTCAATCAATTTAAATCTGACTTCACAAAATCATCAAAAGGGGATATGCCAGATACAAGAATTAAGTCCAAACGTACTATAATACCGATTAAAATTAATCAAAAAGCCCTCGAAAAGTTGCCAAAGAAAATAAATCCATCCAAAGCATCCGGTTCCGATAACATACCAAACCGCGTATATGACAAGAATGTGCAACTAAGTTAGCACCAAACTTGAAAATCATCTTGCAAAAATCAACCGACACTGGGGAACTACCAAAGGATTAGAGCGATGCAAACATAACTATCATCTTCAAAAAGGGAGATAAACACCTTCCAGAAAACTACAGACCAGTCTCTCTTACCTCATTTACTTATAAGTTCTTAGAACATATCATCTGCAGGCACATCATGAGACACCTGGAGACAAACAACATCCTTACCAACTTAAATCATGGTTTTAGATTCAGGATATTCATGTGAGACTCAACTTCTAACAACGATAAATGACTTCCTCACAGAACACGACAAGTCACATGAAGTCGACATAGCCATCTTAGATTTATTAAAGGCCTTTGACACCGTACCTCAAGACAAATTACTCCATAAAGTACATCAATATGGCATTCAAGGGACCCTTCACACCTGGCTTAACAACTTTTTGACAACCAGGAAAATGAAAACAATAGTAGAAGGAACTGAGTCTGAGGAAACATCAGTAGATCTGGAGTGCCGCAGGGTACAGTCCTCTCCCCGATAATGTTCTTATGCCACATTAACGATCTACCAGATGCTGTCAAATCATTTGTACGCTTATTTGCCGATAATTGCCTTCTATACAGAACCATCACCGGCAATAATGATCAACAAATACTACAAAATGTTCTAAAACAACTAGAAGACTGGGCAAATAAGTGGGGTATGAGATTCAATGCTAAAATGTGTTATATTATGTCAGTAAACCTAAAAATAACAAAATTATACTAACTCAATAACCACATCCTCCAAGAAGTACAAAACAACCCGTACCTTGGACTTGAAATTTCCAATGATCTCAAATGGAGTCTACACATAAATAACATCAGTAAGAATAACACTTTAGGCTTCTTAAGAAGGAACGTACCTTCGAAATGTCCCAGAACAATGCAGAAAAACCGCATATATATCCCTTGTTAGATCCATCTTGGAATATGGAGCAACCATCTGGAATCCATACCTCAAAAGGGATATTGACAAATTAGAAAAAATACAAAACAGAGCCATAAGATTTATTCAAAAGGACTACAAGAGTAGAAACCCGGGAGCAATAACATCGATGAGAAAGAACCTTGATATTGAGACCCTGGAGGAAAGAAGAACGAGCCCGAGACTCATCCTCATGTATAAAGTGGTTGAGGGGTTGGTGCCGTCAGTACCTCCTCATTTATTCATCACAAGCGCCAAACCTAAACGCCAAATTAAATCAAGACATTTCAGGGACCACCATACAACAAATATAGTTCACGAACACGTGTTTAACAACAGCAAAGGTCTAGTTATATCTGGCAGCAGAACACCGCAAAACCAACACTCATTTTTTGTCGACACGTGCATACATTGGAACCATCTACCAGATACGGTTGCTCATGCAAAAACTGTAGAGGGATTTAAGACCGCCCTACAGGAACAACGACGCCAATAAAACCTGGCGCTCTCTACCGTTGTAAAAAAAAAAAACATAATTGGGTTCTACAACGCACTCCATACAGATACAGACTGATAGTCGAATAGTCGATGACATCCCTAGTGCAGACTAAACAAACTGAACACATCCAGTAAAACGTAAACACTAAGAACAAGCATTCTGAGAGTATTGCATTAGCAATACTAGTCCCCTACCGGCAAGTGTAATCTGGTTCCCATTAAAAATTGAAAATGCCATAATTCCGTCAAAAATCATAGAAACGGAACGAAATGCAAACTTAATCTATAACTAATCAAAGTAAAGTCAGATACCAAAAAATCAGCTCAATATCTGCAAGCATTAAGAAAAGAAAATGCGAAAAACCCTAAAAAAAATTGAAAATGACGTAATTCCGTCAAAAATCTTGATCTGTAACTCATCAAGTTACACTCAAATATGAAAAATCAGCTTAATATCTTTTTAGGAAAAAAGTGCGGAAAACCAAGTTGGACAGACTGACAGACAGAAAGAGGGACAGACGGACAGACAGACAGACGGACGGACAGACTCAGAGGAAACCTATAGTCCCCTCCGGTTTCACCGGTAGGGGACTAATAACAGAGCCCGTCCCCTGTTTACAAACACAGGTCTTTGACGTGATGTGTCCAGGCCCCTTTAAAACAACCGCTGATATTAGTAGTTGTTAAAATATCGTTTATTAAATCGATGTGGATTTTTAATGTTTAGAGAAATACTATATTTTAAAAACTGTTAAAAGCGGTTTTTGGTTTTGGTATTTTAATAATAATATTTAGGCAGACATAAAAGAACACACAATACACGAAATCCGACATCCTGAAAGCAGAAAGTTTCTAGCGTCTGCTACTGTCATAATGGAAGCCATTAGGATTTACAATTTATTCTTCAACTCTATTTACTTCAATCTCCAACTTATCATAGCCACTCTTCAGACAAATTGTATTACAGTCTGTAAAGTTCAGGTATCAAGTGCACTATTGGTAACTAAGCTGACTCAAATACTACACAAGGCATATTTCAGTGGATTATGGGAAAGTTCAAAATAATTACTGATGTTTGATTGTTTTTGTTTGTTGTTTTAATAACGTCCCTCTCGAGAATTTTTCATCCATATGGAGACGCCGCCACTTGCCGATGGAGGGCTGCAAATAGACCTATACTCTGGGGGCCATTGAGCAGTGAGGGATCTTTTTCGTGCAAGCACCTACTGGATACAGGATCTCGGTTTATACGGTCTCATCCGAAGGACTGGTCTTCACATCCCGCATGTATTGATTAATTATGAATATTCAAAGAGAAAAAAGAATCTCTATTAAGATGAGAATACATTGTATAAATATGACTTTTTGTATGAAAGCGATTTATTTTGAAAACAAAATGTTCTACCAGCAATACTAGTATTTGTCTTGCAAACGTAGACTTCTCCCTCACATGAGAACGACTATCTTAAGGAAGTCCTTCAGCTGTTATGCATGGAACACTGAAATCAATCAAAGTATCTTCATTCCAGTAGCATAGGACAATAGATCAGGACATTGTTATGCTCCTCATCATATTGCAGAATTTAATTAAACAAATTGAAATTTTTGAAAAATATTTGATTCTTGACCCTGGAGTTCAACCCACTTTTGCAAAATTTTTCCAACTTGAACCTTGGCTATAAGTTTTAAATGGTTGATGCTAGTATTTTCAAATTTCTCATGTACATTCCTTGTAACAAGACTTGTCTTTAGATACTGATATTTTTGACTTCATGACCTTAATTGGAGAATAATATACTTTTGAAAAACTTAAATCTTGGTCATAACTTTTGAACGGTTGCTACAAAGGCTATCATATTTCACTGTATTCCTTGTCATGGCCGTAGGAACCGGGGGGGGGGGGGGGGTCACGGGGGGCCGTGTCCCCAATAATTTGGCCAATATATAGAATACTATAGAAAACTTAGCTACTATATGCTTGTGCCCCCCCCCCCCCCCAATAAAAACGGCTGATGACCTTTTTTTTTTGCTTGTCAAGGAATTTTGGTAGTTGATAGTGCCCCCTCAACTGAAAATGTTTGGCTGTGCCCCACAACTCCCTAACTGAAATTGCTTCCTACGGGCCTGCTTGTGACTAGACCTTTCTTATGATACATTTTTGACCTCATGTCCTTGGAGTTTTACTTTATTTTTTTTTAAGATTTTAACCTTGGTCATAACTTCTGAATCGATGATACTAGAGCTTTCATATTTCCATATTTTTGTATTCCTTGTGACAAGATCTTTCTTCGTATACCAACATTTTTTTTACCTCTTGACCTTAGAGTTTGGCTTACAATGTACATTTGGAAAAAAATTAACCTTTGCCATGAGCTGCCTCACGGGGGCATCAGTGTTTCATAAAAATACTTCGTTTATATACATACATATACTCTATATTACATTAATTTTCAGTACCCTGTCCTTCACCGGCATTTGGTGACGTCTAATATGAGTGAAAAATTCTCGGACGGGACATAAAACAACAATCAATCATTTTTCCAGTGACTCGTCGGGCCGTAATATTTTAGGGAAGCTCTGAATACTGCCCACTCTATAATCAATTCCATGGATTTTTTTCTGTAGTTAGAGTGATCTGCCTTTTGATGTAGTTTACCTTGTGGAAAACAACTACCTTTCTGATTACCAAAACATGGTTTAATAACAAAGCAAAACGTCATACACTGCTCTCCTTTGAGTGATTTCTGTCATTTTTTAAACGACCGTATGAACGAATTTCCGTATTTTTGTTACAGCAAAACGTAAGACGTATTTTGGACTGAAAATCCGTACAAAATACGGCGAAATCGTAAGAGTAAACAGGTTTGTAAATTCCCTTCACTCATGGACACTCTGTACCAAGTTTAGGTGAAATTGGTTCTGGAGAAGAATATGAATTTGTAAAACATTAATGATAATGACAACAACAATCAACAGACAATGGGCAAATTTTAATCAAAAAAGCTCTAACACTTGAGCCTTTGGCTCAGGTGAGCTAAAAAAAATTAATCTAGCCCTAAACTTTTTTCACCATAAACAGCCAGACTGTAAAATATTCCATGTTCACACAGAATATTTAATGAAATACTATGAATTCTACCTTGGCTAACTTGATCCCTACCTTTTTTTAGATTTTGGGGGTAAAACAGTGTTTTTATCTTATAAGAGCAATAGATGAGATTGCATAGATATTAGTTATTTGGAATTTCTCAATAACAACCAAATGATATTTTTTTTTGAAATTCAGTTTTTTTTTCCTGCTACAGTGTCAATGTTTTCTTTTCTTTTTGAAGCCTGAAATAAAAGAAAATGCACATAAACCTTCACATTCCAAGCCAATAACAAATCTCTAATAATAAACAAACTTCTAATCACATGTATTTAAATATAAGTGTATTTTTCATGTTACTTTGGTTTTTTTTTTCATTTATATTGATTACCTTTCTTTCCTTTCTTCCCCTAAATTGAAAAAAACATCATAATGAGAGTATGAGACAGAACAATTTGATGAGTTTAACAAGAAGATTTATTATGAAAAGGCAAGATTAAATGTCAATTTACACAAACCTCTATTTTCCAAAACACTTAATGTTTATTTTTTTTGTTTAAATTAGAAAGTATATTGATAAATCAAACACAATACATATAATCAAAAAGCTATCAAGCCATTTTAAACAAAACAAGAGGCCCATGGGCCTTAATGTCCACCTGAGTCACTATGGTCCTGCTGTTCTTCAACAGCAGATTTTCCTTTAAAAAAAATCCTCTCTTTAATTTCATAAAAATTTTGACTCCATATTTTGGACCAAAACCTAGCCCTAAGGGGGCTATGATTTATTCAAAGTTGAATCCAAACAGAAATGGGATGCATCAATTTGACTAACAAGGCCTTGCTGATCTGGAAAAGATTTCACCTATATACAGGCATTGTGTAGAATTAGGATCACTGATTCTAGCCCAACTCTAACCCCAGGATTCATAATTGAAACCATACAACTTAGGAACGTTTCACCAATGTGGCTTTGCCACTCTTGAAAACTTCTCATCCTACATACTCCCTTGTTAAACTCTAATCCCTTATTGTAGCCTCAACCTATTCCTGGGGGCCCTGATCTGAATAAACTTGAATAGAAACTATCTGAAGATCCTGGCATAATTATCAATATGAGTAATAAATGTTTTTTTTTTATCAAGGAAGATCTTTCTTAAAGTTATCTCCCCTTTCACAAGAGTAAGGTCCTTCATTTGAATAAACTGAATTCCTTTCAACCAAGGAGGCCCAGTGGTTCTTGAGAAGAAGTTGAAAATGTGAAAAGTTTACAGATAGACAGACAGATTGCAGATAGACAGTTGGACAGAAAGACATTGTTTCCGCTGGACAAAAAGTGATCAGGAAGGCTCGCATGAGCTTTCAGCTCAGGTGACTTAAAATGAGAAACTTTTGCAGTATCCTTAGATTCTTTAGTCGCTTATTTAGAATTAAAAAAAGTATGTACATGTACATGCAGGTTAGGTAACTCTAGCAAAATGAAATACTGGTTGATTTACCTTTCCACTCATCTTCCTCTTCTTGGAGGGTCCAGCCTGAGAATAAAACAGAAAAATACAATTAAAATCATAATGTCAATTTGCTGTGCACATTTGGAAAACCCCGTAATGATTACACTTCTCTGTCAGTGTTACAGTAGCACCAACAATCCTAGTAATTAAACTGATCTGTTTAGTAGCCCCATTAATTCGATCTGTTTATTCAGTTTATTGATTCCACTCACACCCACTGCACTGTATACGCAATATCAACTGCCTGATTGGAACATTGTGTTTATCTGTTGATAATTCAAGTTTATCTTAAACATTGCATCATGAAATCCAGGAGTGAAACAGAATTACCTTAGAGGTTTGACCTTCTGTCAGAGCACTGATGTCATCAAAATGAGTCAAATTATTCAGCGAGGAAAATCCCGCAACTCTCCTCATTTCATTCTGTAAATAAAAAGGTAGAGATGAGATTCAACAAACAGCATTAAAACTACTGATCTTATTAAACTACTTTTACAAGTACAGATAATAAAGATATTTGCTGGACAATCAGAAAAAATAAGTGACCTTTGACCCAATAACCAATAAAGTCATCTTTTAACCATGGCCAATCTATGTTTAAAGTTTGATGACTATCAAGCAGATGATTTTTTAATAAGAGATTAATGGACAATATTTGTTGTAGGTAGAGAGGAAAATAAATTTTGAACTGAAAATCAATGTTGGTCTTGCAATGCATGCTTCAGATGACCAAGTACATGTAATTTCTTATAGGGTGTCCTTTTTACAAAGAAAAGAATCACACTCCTAAATGAAGCACAGACACATTATGTAAATTTAAATAGCTTAGAGAGGTATAAAAGTTATTTCTGGATCATTACATGTGAAACTATTGTTATTTTACTTCAATTTGGACACTACTTTTCTGATCATTTAATGTAACATTTTAAAGCACAACTTGCTCTATATGTATTTTATTATTTTTTTGATACAATTTTATCTCATAATTGATCACTGTCTACAATTGTATCTCTTTCATGCCTCTCTGTGGGTCCATGATTGGAAAAAAACTACGCGCACTGTCTATTATATACATATTTAAGAAGTCTAATGACAAGCAACCAAGTGCCCAACATCAGAAGTGAGAGTCATAGATCTTTTGGATATGACCTTATGGAAGGCACTGACACAATAAATTACTTCTACAGCCACCTGGTCATCTGGTAAAAATTTTTAGCACTTTACCTTAAGCTGGTGATATGTGAGTCTCTACATGAGAGAAACATTCTCAAATGCCATGTAAGAAATACTTATGTAACTAATAAAAGTTACTCAGTTTCATATATGTAACCATTTGCAAGAATTTTACATCTGAAAAAAAAAATAGCCAACTAAAAAGAAAATATCTTAAATATTTTGACTTCAGAAAAGCATCAATGAAGTAAGTTACCTTATCTTTCTTAGACACAGAGAATCTCATGAAATGTTCCTCTTCATACCTAAAAAGTGCATGGAAGATTTTGATTTAGTGTGGACAAATATATCAAGTATATACTATTTTTTAAAACCAGGGACCATAACTCCACAGAAATAGACATCTATTTTACTAACTCTGTTCTCTCCCTTAGTTTCTTCTCAGCTTTTGATCTTTGTTTACTTGTTGTTTCCTGCAAAAGAGTAATAGAATAATTTCATGAAACATTTAGAAACCTTTCTAAATGAATGTACAATCAACATTTATAAGTATTTTCATAGCTTCAGTTATTAAAGGCACTTTCATGTAATTCATTTATAGGTTTAAAGTGTTGTTATTTTTCACATTAGCTATCTAATTTTTAAATTCTTGCTTAACAAATTGTTCAATTTTGAAAACATAATACACTGTAAAAAATACTGCATTAATTTGAGTTAAGGCAAGCCTATTTAGTTGAAAAACTTTTTGAGATTTTTTCAATCCAAATAAGTTAGTTTACAATAAATGTATATGAAAAACACATAACTACATTTATACACCTTTTAATTACTGACTGCAGTGTTTAATTTTTGGTTTATAAGGTAATAACAGACTGTAATAATTCATTATCCAGAACTAGTAAGGAATATTATCATCCTTATACACAACAAACGCTTGCCTCTATTCCTCTTCCTAATTTATATATCTTACTTAAATATCAGCTGTGCCTTCTGACATAATGATACTGAAAATCACATAAAGACACAAAGAAAAAGTTTAGAGGCTACAAGACCGGCAAATCAGTTGTGAAAATGGACTCCAGATTTTAAAATCTAGTTACATCTATAATAAAAATGTTAGCAACTAGAAATAATGAACATGGCTGATTGAAAATTACCCTGATCTCAGTTGGCCCCTCACTATACTCCTCCCTCAGGTCTCGAAGCATACTGGTACTGAGTGCCCGCTTTTTAGCCCGCTCCAGAGCCCGTTCTTCTTTATCCTGTACTGTCTCATCTCCCTCTGTCAAAGAAAATTACAGTCAACAATGTTATCAGAAATTAATCAGGACAATGGTTATATGATAGGGAAATGGAGATCATAAGACCACTTAATTGATTGACATTTAATGGTTTCATACTTGTTACTTTGTAGAATAAAATTTGCATGATTTATGGTAGTACATTAATTAGTATGAATAATTAAGATATATTTTTACCGTAGTGCATGGCTGTGAGTTTGGGAGGTTGATAAATTTTTGATTTCTTCTCTTCTCCCTCAGATTCTGATTCTGACTCATCATCCAGCTGAAAAAAAATGAATATTCCCTGTATATTCTATGTGGCTAAAAATGATAAAACTTTTATATCTTATTTTGAATTTTCTGTTATTTTTGCATATCAAGCCAGTGAAAAATCTCCGAGTAAACCATACCTTAACACAGCCTTTTGACTGCACCATGAGGGTAATAATCCAATCATTCATTTTTGATAGAGTAAATAAAAACAGTTTTGTTTGAATGAGTTTAAAAGCAATTAACTTGTGAAAACTTCCTACAAAAATATGACATAGAATCTCAAATTTCCCTCATCAAAACGAAATAGTTAAGTTCTCAGATAAAGAATTACAGCTGAGCTAGGAGTTATGTCCCCTCACTCAATTAATAATTTCAGAGATTTACAACTATTTGATGGCATATCTAGAAATGTACAAGCTATAACCTTATACCTTGAATTACACAAGTTTATCATTATACCTCATTGTGAGATATGATGTACTATTAATGTACATGCAGAAATGTTTTCACTAGAGAGCTCGAGACACAGAAGATGCTGTTTGACTCCTGTATGGCAGCCATGTACTGTAGACAAGATAAACATTGTCTAAATACTTGTCAAGTTCTTAAATTTCTTTTAACACCTAGTAATCAATATGCTTTAAGTAATAATTCTGATTTTATTATTCTTAGTTATTTATGTTCACTGGTACATGTACATGTACTTTAAAAATGTTCTTTCCTAAAAAAAAATGTACAGTACATGTATCAACATACCTTGCTAATTAAATTATCTGGGTTAGCTCTGTGTCGTAGAGGGTCAGAAGAATCTGAAATTTAGATTTTCTTACTCACATGTTCATAATAAATGTATCTAAACTAGTTTTCATTTTTGTTAAATGTTCATAATTATGAAGACTGATTGTAGGATGCAGTTCCTACCTGTTCCGCCACTGGCAGCAGTTCTAACAACTTTGTCAACTTCGTATTTTAATTTCTTGTCTATTGGTCTCATTTTTTCAAGCACCTTGTATTAAATAGTATACAAATAAAAACACAGGAAACATCAAAATGAATACAACCAGAAAATAACACAATTTCTAATAATAATAATACAAGATGAGAAATGGGTCACAACACTCACCTGAGGGCATTAAAATTATTGAAAGGGGGGGGGGGGGGGGGAGGCACCACTGATTTTTGATTTTTAGACCCCAACCTATAGAGAAGAATAAGAAAATCACCACCACCAAGAGACTTCAGTTTTCTGTCACACACACATCCCCAACCAAGAAAAAAAAGAAACAAAGACCCAAAAGTGAAATAATCTAGGTCTGATAAAATAAGGGTAATAAGTGATTATTGAAACAATCTTCTTCACTTTATTAAATCATCCTTTTTATTTTCCATTGCATGTGCCTGATCATGTGAAACTATTTCTAGTAGAACAAGAAAAGAGGGAGTGTTTGAAAGGGAGGAACTTTGGCTGGTATAAAATATGCAGGCTGGTCAAAGAGACTGACTTTGTTTCATTATGATGAGTCTTTTATTAAACATAATTATAATATAACTTAGTAGCTCAGAACTGAAAAGAGCCCACCCTCTATTAACAACCCCCCCCCAACCAACCAACCAACCAACAGAGAAAAATCAAAAAGGTGTTCCACTCTTTTCAAATAATTCTTACTGGAGTCATCTTTCAGATAACTCTTACTGGAATAGCCCTGAGTCATCTTTGCCCTGCTTTTCTTCAGATTTGTAAGAGATTTTTCCCTCCATTTCCATGAACTTTTTGGCCCCATATGTGTCCTACCCTCAAGGAGTAATGATTTACCGAGCTTGAATCAACACAGCATGAGAATCTTCCATATGACTAACATGGTTTGAATAAATTTGAATCTACACTACCTGTAATGAGTTCATATTTATATTAATCATGGTACATATTTATATTAATCATGGTACATATTTATATTAATAATGGCCCTGACATTCTTCTTCAGATTTTTTTCTGTGAAACTTTGATCTCTTACTGCAGCCTCACCCCATCCATGGGGACCATGGTTTGAACAAAATTGAATGCTTCCATATTAAAATGACTACTCAGGGATCAGCTATTTTTCAGAAGCAATCTTTTGAAGATTTTTCTCTATATGTTCCACAAGCACTTGTTTCTGTAATACAGAATTATTATGCCCAGCAGTTCTGGAGAAAAAGTCAAAAATGTAAAAAGTTTAGACAGACAAACAAACAGCCAGACAAAATGTAATCAGAAAAGCTTATGAGCTTTCAGCTCAGGTGAGCTAAAAATAAGCTGTTCAAAAAATTAAAAAAAGAAGAAACTTCAAAGTGATCTATAACTCAATATAAACACTGACTGTTCTTATTTCTATGAGTCTGTCAATGGCTGGATCCCCCTCTATGCTTCCTCCCTTGGCCTTTTGTAATGTTATATATGTCAGATTAATCAAATAACTCAACAAAAGCTGGTATTTCACTTCCAGAAAACTAATTCCCTGTAAGAATAACAGTATATAATGTTAAGATTTAGCTAAATCAGTCAGTCTTGGATGACAACAATTTATAGATCTGTAAATGAAAACTTACTTTTGATGTCTGGTATTCTCCATCGCAGGCTTTTTTCAGGAGATGGTCTATAAGTTTGGTGACATCTTCTGTCTGCGATTCCATATTCTCCAAAAGATTAATGGCTTCTGCTGTTTCTTCTGTTGACATTGTGCTAAAAATGAAGTTAAAATTGTAAATGGACAAAAATCAGGTTGTGAAGAGTAGCTTAATGTATCATTCAAACCTTATTTTTTAATTTCAAAAGTAAAATTAAAACTAAAATAACTAAAAATCTATCTATAACAAAAATGTTCCATGTAATTCTGACGACAATTTAGTTGGATAGAGCTAATGTTTTCTCATCTTATTTGCCTACAAGATATCACTGAAAGTTTGGAATGGATTTTATAGAATTTTAGGAAAAGACAAAACACTCAGATTCAAAATCAATAAGTAGAAAAGTACAGATCCCCAGCATAATTATTAAAAGGTCCTCTGCTGAAGAGGAGGCTAAGTAGGCATTGATCTATACAGTCTAAAATATTTGTACCCCCGACTGCTGGCAAAAAGTTATCTTCAGTTTCTAGTAACCTATTTTTGTTTACCTTAAAGGAAAGAAAAATCATTGCAAAAGCAGTGAAAGATGCAAATATTTTGAATTCAGTTAGCCATATAAAGAGAGATAACTCTATCTGGACATTTTTGTTCACTGTTAGATATCAAACTTAATTATTATTGAAATCAGAGAATTTATGTGTGTGGACACTAAAAACAAGAAAGTAATTTCTCAAATAAAATTCCAATGAATCAAGTAACTTTAATAAAACACAAAAAAATTCTCTGACAATGGTACAATACAAGATCTACCCATGGGTTAGGGTTTGGAGGTAAGATTGTAAGACATTTAGATTGATAAGAAATGCTGCAAAGAAAAAATATGCCAATACCAGACTTGTCGAAATCCGTTGGTCCTGTCGGCAAAGCCGGCAAAAATTTGTCTGGACTGATAACTTTTAAGAAAACGTCGGTCCAAATGACTGTTTGAAAAAATCGAGCAAATTTAAAAAAGGTCGGGATCAAAATGCGCAACTGAAGGTCACAAACAAAGAAGAGCACAGGGTCTTGAAACAATCTTAGCAAAATAGGGGAGCCCTATTATACTATATACCCGATTTTACTAAGATAGTCTCAAGACCCTGTGCAGAGGAGATGGCCGTGTGCATGTCGTGGTGACGATAGTCAATTTAAATTGTTACAGCAAAGATATAAAATATGTCATTTATTTCTCTGATTAAAGACTCTCTATCCTAAGAAAAGAAACTTGTGAGATTGAAGGCTGTTGAAAATAATAAAGGGCATTTTGGTGCTGTTATTTATTTTCCTTTCATAGCGTCAAAATCAGGTACATGTATTTGGACTGACAAAACTTTGTCCGTTCTGACAGAACATTTGACTTTGTCAGACCAAATGTCTGACAGTGATTTCAAAATTTCGACAAGTCTGCAATACTTTTTTGTTTGTTTGTTTTTTGCTTCTGCATGTATCAACAAAGGGTTCACAAAAAAAAAATTTTAAATGAAAAAAAATGTGCAATGTAGTGGAAAGTCCCCCCCCCCAACCCCCAATTATGACAGCACTCTTACTTGCTTTTTTATACATTGTACATGAACAAGAGGCCCATGGGCCACATCACTCACCTGAGCACATTAACTAAGCAAAAGCACAAATCGGTTCAGTATTGAAAAGATTACCGGGGTGGGGTGGGGGAGAAGGGGTGGGGGGGAGTTGTATTTTAAACGACGATGCTTCCATGTCAACATAACAAATGGCTTTGTTGTACTTGAGAAGATTTTAACAACATTTTCCCATATATTCCTTTGTAAAAATTTGATCCCCATTGTAGCCCCACCCTACCCCCGTGGGTCATGATTTGAACAAAATAGAATCTACACTACCTGAGGATGCTTCCATATAAATATAATCAATCAGGGCTTTGCTGTTCCTGAGAAGAAGATTTTAAAAATTTTTCTTATATATTTCTATGTAAAACTTTGATCCTCCATTGTGGCCCCACCATACCCCCGGGGGTCATGATTTGAATAAATTTGAATCTACACTACCTGAGAATGCTTCCATATAAATATGACCAATCAGGTCTTTGTTGTTCCTGAGAAGAAGATTTTTAAAGATTTTTCCTATATATTTCTATGTAAAACTTTGATATTCCATTGTGGCCCCACCATACCCCCAGGGGTCATGATTTGAACAAACTTGAATCTACACTACCTGAGGATGCTTCCATATAAATATGACTCATCATGGCTTTGCTATTCTTGAGAAGAAGATTTTTAAAGATTTTTCCTTTCTATTTCTAAGTAAAACTTTGATCCTCCATTGTGGTCGCGTCCTACCCCCGGGGGTCATGATTTAAATAAATTTGAATCTACACTACCTGAGAATGCTCCCATATAAATATGAGTCATCATGGCTTTGTTGTTCTTGAGAAGAAGATTTTCAAAATTTTTCCTATATATCTCTATGTAAAAATTTGATCCTCCATTGTGGCTCCACCCTACTCCCGGGGGTCATGATTTCAATAAATTTGAATCTACACTACCTGACGATGCTTCCATATAAATATGACCAATCAGGTCTTTGTTGTTCCTGAGAAGAAGATTTTCAAAATTTTTCCTATATATCTCTATGTAAAAATTTGATCCTCCATTGTGGCCCCGCCCAACCCCCGGGGGTCATGATTTGAACAAACTTGAATCTACACTACCTGAGGATGCTTCCACATGAGTTTCATCTTTCCTGACCCTGTGGTTCTTGAGAAGAAGATTTTTAAAAGATGCTATTAATTTTTCACTAATTCTGTATTATTTCCCCTTGAAAGAGGGCGTGGCCCTTCATTTGAACAAACTTGAATCCCCTTCACCCAAGGATACTTTGTGGCAAGTTTGGTAGAAATTGGCCCAGTGGTTCTTGAGAAGAAGTCGAAAATGTGAAAAGTTTACAGACAGACAGACGGACAGACAGACAGACAGAAAGACGGACAGACAGACGGACGCCGGACAAAAAGTGATCAGAAAAGCTCACTTGAGCCTTCAGCTCAGGTGAGCTAATAAGAGACTGTATCATTTGTCAAATTGGAGTACCTGGGGTAAATATTCCAGTGATAAATGGTTTATCTGTTCAAAAATAGTTTAAGACTTTTTTAGAGGTAAACCCTGCTGGATTCAACCACAGTTTGAATAAATGAATCTGGTGACACAGATAATGCAAGTACCCGGTAAGTGTTCTGTCATGATAAATCTGTTTAAAGTCAGCAGAATGGGTATTTTCATTTCATTTTTATTGGAAAATAACATCTGTGCATCCAAAATATACCTATGATATTGCATCAGACCTAAAATATTGATCAAAGTTTGACCCAGTCTGGTTCTGTATTTAGTTAATTTCTGATTTGTTTTTATAAGGAATATCGTACAGAAGTTTCGAAGGAGTAATAACGAGCCTTCAACTTCTCAATAGAGAATAGCAGCCTCTGAGATCTACATTGAAGCTATTCTCTTTAGAGAAGTGGTCAGGCTTCACCTACATCCACTTCTTTTCACAAGCCTTTTCATTTTGATTCTGGAAAACGTGTAAATTTCGAACCAGTGATGGCCTACACTTCAACTGACAATTCGTCTAACATATGTCTGAATGTATGTAACAGGCATGTCATACATATTAAGAATTTAAACATAAATACACGCAATTGTCACAAAAAACTGACCTGTACATATTGTTAATCCATTTTCACAAGTTCTCCATCCCGGATTTAAATTATGAGCAAGTAACTCTTGAATGATTAAAAAATCTCTAATTCGGATAAACCTGGAAACTATTTTAATTTACAAAATAATAATGAAACAAGAGAAATCGTCTACTCTGTTTAAACTAACAAGGCAGCATTTCCTCAAAATTTGATCAAATTCTTTTGTCTTTGCCTTAAATCTTTTTTTTTTTTTGTTTCTTGGGAAAGGTAATATCATTTAAGAATAAAAGAAAAGATTTTTAGTATTGAAAGAGAGGAAGTAATGAAGTATTTTTTAAGCTCAAATTTACATTTCAATTATATTAAAATAGTAAAAATAATTTGAAGTAATAATATTAATTTTGAATAATATGCTAAATCAAAAGTGAATTGTCAAACCCTTTTTTTGAACATCAAAATGCGTCTTTGCCATTTTTTCCAAATCATCTGACTATAAATTTTCCAATTTTTTTCTAATAAGCTGTGGAAGATAAACACTAGTTTAAATCCAGGATAGAGAACTTGTGAAAATGGATTAACAATATGTAAAAGTTGGTTTTCTTGTGACAGTTGTTTATTTATGTTGAAATCGTTAATATAACACATCTTTTATGTACATTCGAACATATTTTAGACAAAATGTCAGTTGAAGGGTAGGCCGTAACCGGTTTGAAATTTATAAGTTTTCCAGAATCAAAACAAGAACTTCTTGCAAAGAGAAGTGGATGTAGGTGAAAGCCTGTCCACTTCTCTAAAGAGAATACATTCAACCTACATAGCTTAATCTCTAGATTGTGCCAGACCTGATGAAAAGCATCTTCCGTCGTATAGAGCAAGAAAGTTGGACACACAGACGAATGAATATGGTGATTCTGGTATCACCTTACAACTTCGTTGCGGGGTGTATCAGGGTTCAAAATTCACTATATACAACTCGCAAAACGCGAGTTATAATTCCAAAATGGCGAGTTAAAAATTAGGTAACTCGCAAAAACTTGCGAGTTGATTTTTTTGCATTGAAACTGTAGCAAAATTATATAATATGACAGAACACAATGCTTTTGATTTAAATCAGTAATTCAAATAAAAGTCACCCTGTAGCTGTATTTTGTGTATTGTACAGTAGTTACTTTTTCCTTAAGTTACATGTATTTAATTTATATAAATTTAACTTTATATGAAAATTGCAAGTAGTCTTATAAAATTGCGAGTTCACTTTCTTGGTACTCGCAATAATTTGCGAGTTGTATTTTTAGGGAGTTTCTAACCCTGGTGTATGAAAAATTTGTTTCTACATTTTCCTAGATAGAATGTTCTATCTTTAAAATGATAAATATCCTACGGACCCAGTTTAACGATAGGATGCGTTC